GCGAGTCCCCCCTCAACAGCCGTCCTTTAGTGTCCTCCAGACCCTGTACTAGAGCTGTTTCTCCACTCCCTTGGCTCTGAGAAATCAGAGCTCTATTTTCTGGAGCCTTAAGGTCAATTCTTATTTTCCACTTAGAACCGCTCAGATTCTGAGGCCGCCTAGATGGTGTTCACCAGCTTTAGACAAAGGAACCAGCCTGTGCCGCGAGGACGGCAACCCTGAAAGGGCTTTAGACAGTCAAGGAACGCGGAGAATTCCCGCGCGGCCCGACGGCAAGTCGTGCTGTGGGAACGGGAGACCACAGAAGCTGGAAAACGGTTTGGAGATGGAGGAGGAAGAGCTCTGGCCACGCACTGGGCACCGCGGTGCTTACAGGCGGGGCTGGCCGGGCACCGTTAGCGCCGCGGCCTCGCCTTAGGGGCCGGGGCCTGAGGGCGCCAGCGGGCGGGGCGCTCGCGGGCACGGTGCTCACAGGCGGGGCGTCACGGGCGGGGCACAGGCCCCCCGACGGAATGCAGGGCTGTGGGGATGAAAAGCAGCGGAATTCACGGCACGTGCAAGGGGCGGTTCAAGGGCGCGGAGGGTCGCCTGAGCCCCTGCAGGCGCTTACGTGCAGGGCTGAGGAGGTGTTGGGCGGGAGGCTCTCCCCGCATGCAGCGCCGAATAGCTCGGGCGACAGCAAACGCCCGGCCTTGGAACCTCAGCGCATCTGAGGGCGGTCGCAGGACGGGGGCTGCTGAGCCCTGTCTGCCCCAGGAGCGTGCTGGCTCGTCTTCCCACAGGCGCTCCCGTGGGCTCCGGAACTAGGGTGCCTATTGCACAGCATTGTAGTTCATGTTCCACCACAGAGCCTAAGACTGACCAGCTCTGAAACAGTCGTCGAGGGGGCTGAGGCTTTTGTTTTATTCATTTATTGATTTTTGAGGGGGGGGGAGACAGAGAGAGAGAATAGACTTGTTGTTCCACTGATTTCGGCATCACGTGCTAATTCTTGTACGTGCCCCGACCAGGCTCGAACCCACAACCGCGGCGGATCCGGACGACGTCCCGACCAGCCAGCCGCCCGGCCAGGGCTGGGGGCGGAGGGTTTGATTCCTGAGCAGTAACGACATGTTTCTTAATAAACATGCATTTAATCATAATAAACGTTTTGAAAATCACTTTCTTTGTGACTGTGGGATTAACAAAAAATCAGAAATGAACTGGAAATAATACATTATTTTAGGAAATTATTGAAGGGAAAGAAAAGTAGCATGAAATTTCACGAGGTATGACTCAGAGCTGTATTTATTATTTATGCTTACGAGAAACGGAATAGTTGAAACATATAATTTGTATCTTTAAGCAATTTTAGCCACACTACTGGGTGAAGAAACCTCACAGCGGGCGGGAAAACTTTTCCTAGTCTTAAAGTAGAGATTGACCATTTTCCGGAGAGTAATTTCACAGACTTTTCCCTGAGATGTTGTTCCGGGAAAGAATGTTGACTTCCCTCAGAACACACTTAATGAGTGACGTGGAAACCTGGCCTCAGGCCCCGCTGAGGGGATTAGCAGCGAGTTAAGAACGTCCCGCGGACGCGCGGGGAGCGGGTCTGGTGCTCGCACAGCCGCCGGGTTTCTCCGCCCGACGCCCAACTGCGGGGAAGCCGCTGCTGAGGAATAGGCAGAACTAAAGAATGTAAAAAATAAAGCCGTTTCCGTTTACAAATTAGAGAAGTCACAGGGATTCTGACTTTCCGTCTTAATTCTGAGGGGGAAGAGAATGTTGAGACCCGCTACAATCCTGGCTTTAGCGAGAGGCGCTAAAAGCAGATGACTTAACGGCCGCGGCGCCGGGCGCTCTGAGCGGGAGACCCCCGGGAGCTCGAGGGAGGGGGGCGGACGGGGCGCCGAGAGGCGTGGCTTG